CATGAGTTTGTTCTGATCGTGACAGAAGCTGTAGATTAAAGATGAACTGGAGTTGGTTTTTCTTCTGAACTCCACGACTGTTGACTAACAGTTATACAACACACACGTACTTCACAGTACTCTGTAGTACTCTGTAGTACTCTGTAGTACTCTGTAGTACTCTGTAGTACTCTGTAGTACTCTGTAGTACTCTGTGTAGTACTCTGTGTACTGAAGGGACATTATGTTTTATCAGCAGTGTGAAGAAACACAGGTGTGGTGAAGTTTCCACAGGCTTCAGTGACGCTTCAGTGGGTGAGCACGCCCCCTACAGGTGTTCAGTCACCGCGGCCCTGACACAGTGAGAGGTGATGATGATGATGAAGATGATGAAGATGATGATGATGAAGATGATCCCTGGGTCTGTGAGGCCCCTGGGTTACATAATGTCTAGTCATCATCAAGAGGGGCCTCAGGAGACACACCCCCCCTCCTGACCCCCCGCCCCTCCCACCTCACACACACACACGAGACATAATAAATAATGTGAAGGAAGAGAAGGAACAGCTCAGAGCATCGGTTCTTGGTGCAGAAACAGTTCCAAACAAACTATTGATGATGACAGTACAGTCTGTTTTTACCCCAGTCTGTTTTTACCCCAGTCTGTTTTTACCCCAGTCTGTTTTTACCCCAGTCTGTTTTTACCCCAGAACGTGGATGAAGATTTCCAGGACAGAACAGGAACCACATCACGCCGCTCAGACGTCTCAGACGTCCCAGCCAATCAGAGCGAGCCGTCCATCGGGCGACGGCCACAGAAACCTGCGTCAGAGCTGCTGAGAAACAAAGAGGGAAAGTGTCTGTGAAAAAGAGTTTGTCGACTTCACTCACACTGGAGTGAGGGGGGAGGAGGGGGGAGGAGGAAATGAGGAGGAGACATGGGAAAGAGAAGAGACAGATTCTCTTCCCGTTTGTCACGGTCTTCCAGACACGTGAATAATATTTCCTTACAGTGGACTGTGAATGTGGGAGCAGACTGGGGGAGAGGGGTGAGGGCTGAGGGGTGAGGGTGAGGGGGGGGGACTGTACGTTCAACTCCAGGAACAGAAGTTATCACAGTGTCCATGGTCTGCAGCTGTTTTTTTCCCACAATGCCTCTGTTCTTTGTCCCAGATCATTTCTCCAGCTTCATTCACTTTAACAAAACATCATCTTCATCATCTTCATCATCTTCATCATCATCAACTGTTAGTTGTTGACTTCAATGATTGGTTGTCCTGCAGCAGTGACAGGACGGCGTCTCCTTCAAACTCTTTGTTCTTTAGCGTCATTAGCATCTTTAGCTTCTTTAGCTTCTTTAGCTTCATTCCAACTTCTGTCTTTGAACTGAACTTCCTGTTCCTCAGAGCAGCGACCAGGACTAAAGTTCCTGGGACCGCAGCGTCAGTTTTTACAGGTGAACCAGAGATGAGACTATAAATAGACCAGCGGGATATTCTTCTGGATGATTCCGTGTCCGTATCAGACTCTGGCTGTCACCGGGCTGCGAGCCTGAGCTGCTGGAATGTGGGCCGGAGCGGCGTCTGGAGAAGCTCACCTCTGATGGGGAATCCTCCGGATATTTAAAGGTACCACAGTCGGCCAACAACAGTCGGCCAACAACAGTCAGGAAGACAGGACATTCCAAACTGGTGAGACGTCAACATCGGACTCATGTGAACCATCGTCCGATCATCTCCACCTGAACCCTGGTTCGGGTCGGGGGTCTCTGAGAAACAGCTGTTACGTAAAAGGCGGCAGGACGAAAACGTTCACGTCAGGCTGAGTTTAAAACTGGGTCACCAGGTCGGAAGGACCAGGTCTGAAGGATCAGGTCTGGAGGACCAGGTCTGAAGGACCAGGTCTGGAGGATCAGGTCTGAAGGATCAGGTCTGACGGACCAGGTCTGGAGGACCAGGTCTGAAGGACCAGGTCTGGAGGACCAGGTCTGAAGGATCAGGTCTGAAGGATCAGGTCTGAAGGACCAGGTGTTCTGTTCTAACCAGGTGTTGACAAACAAACAAACAAACAACAGGAACCAGTCATCAGTTCCCACCTTCACTCATTCATCGGTGCTGTTCCTTATGGTTTATTTTCTCATAAATAGAATCAGATTTTAGAAAATTAACAAGGCCTCTCAACCACTGGGTCGGGGGCCATTACCGGGCCATGGCTCATTTGCTTCTGTGACTCAATATTTTTTATTTTTTCTCTTAATTATCGTCATCATTCAACCAGTGTTTGTGAACCCATCGTCAGGTCCAACGTCCAAACCCAGTCCTGTCTAATAATAGAACCCTCTCCGCTCTGTGTTTAGATGAACGTCAAACAGTACTACACACTGTTTAGGACTTTTATAGCAGTGTTTGTGTTTAATATTTTGTCAGTGGATCCACTGCCAGTGAATGTACTGGCTCGTCGTCGGACTCTTCCAGTCTGAGACTTTTACAGAGGGAGAAGAAGTTCAGAGTCGCCGGTGAGGAAACTTCTAGAAAACCTTAAAGAACTGTTTCCTGATAAAACATCACTCCATAACAATAGTGAAGACCTCCAAGTCTCTGGTGCCTTAAAAATAAAAACAAAATATCTCAAAATCTACAATAAGGAGAATAAGAATTCCGACCGGAGGCAGAGAGCGTGTGCATCTGTAGACTGCACCTCTGATTCAACCACAACCAAAACAGTCGTAAAAACACAGCTGTTTCAGGTCCTTGGAGAAAAAAAAACTGTGTCGAATAAAGTGAACAAAAATAGTAGGAGACCTTCAGGTTAGAGAAACAGTCGGTACCGAGGACGCCGTCCAGCAGCGGCCCCGTCTGTCAGGCCCAAAAGAAACACATAAAAACTGGTGAGTCACGTAGAAGTCGAGTGTTGGCCGAGGCGGCCGCAGAACCACGCTGCTTCATCTGGACCGCAGAACGTGGATTCTGGAACTGATAAACAGAGAACCGTGGACTTCAGACGTGCGTGTGCTCATTAAGACCTTCAGCAGAACCGCCCTGAAACCTTGGACCGGCCGTTAACGGCACCTCGTGGTCTGAACGTTCCTTCAGGAACGTCGGGACTTTAGAGCAGCTCAGTGGAACGTGACGGTCCGTCAGACGGGGCCTGGAGCCAGGCTCCCGTTGGCTGCTCCTGTCTTTCACATCACGCCGACTTTTTCACCAAAACATGTTTTTTTTTTCTCAGGTTGTGCTGCGTTTAAAGACCGTCTGACTACAACCATGAACATCTTGTGAACCACTTTACCGACACTGTAAACCAGGGAGGACAAAAATATATACATCTTATTCTACTGTGCCATACAGTGGTATATATTTGACCCCGACATATATTTGTGCATATAGTACATTGTTTTTATTGTATCAAACTAAATTAATCTCTAAATCATATTGAACTCAGAGAAGCTGCCACCTGGAGGCCACACTGAGAAACAACAGATGTTTCCCTGTGTTGGTGTCATTTTTTTGTGTGTGTTTTTTTTTTTTTTTTGTCTGTAGAACCCTGATCTTGACCGGTTGTTGTTTGTTGGCAACTCTGAAAATGTTCACTCTTTTCTTGAGCGTCCAGTTCCAACTTCGACCTCGAGGGGGGGCTCTTATTTATAACAGAGGAAGTTGATGAGCGCCTTTGGAATGTCCAGGTGAACCACGGTCTTCAGGGCGCTGGTCCCCAGACTCTTCCTCACTGACAGCCTGCTGAGCTGCTGCAAACTCATGGGATTATCTACAGACGGGAGAACAACGGGTCAGTGTGTACACAGTACTAAACAGTAGTACTATTTACTACGCAGTCCATATTTTTGCATCTGGGGCTATTTAGTGGTATTTTAATTATTCAAGTTTGTAATCCTCAAAGAAATCTGTTGAGTTTTCGTGGCAGTGGAGGACTATCCTCTGCTGCCATCTATTGGCCCATATTTTTGCATCTGGGGCTACTCAGTGGTATTTTAATAATTCAAGTTTGTAATCCTCAAAGAAATAATCTTTGAGTTTTCGTGGCAGTGAAGGACTATCCTCTGCTGCCATCTATTGGCATTGCGGTGGAAATACACTGCCGTGTATTAATACATAATGAATCGGTGTACTGTATATGTATGGTTATATTACTTATCATATTAACATATTAGCACATTTCTGCAACATAAATATTTACGTTTTTTTAAAATTATCTTCGTAAAAGTTATTTCTAATTATCTACAAGCAGCGATATCAGATCGTAACTGCTTTTACCACTTATATGTCGCTTCGGGATCACATTTCTTCTGATGTTGTCGTTTTTATAGGGTCACAGAAACCAGTTTAAAACCACGTTGTCGTTTGTATAGGGTCACAGAAACCAGTTTAAAACAGACCCACTAGATGGCAGCAGTTAAACCCACACACACCTCAGATCTATCAGTAAAGCCCGGAAACGAAGGGACACAGCGTGTGCTAGCAGGGTTAGCTTGGCCTAGCGCGGAGCTAATACTTCTCTAATGTGCTAAATGCTAAAATACTGTTAGCATGCTTGCTTTTAGTGCACAAATTATAGTGTTTTAACGACGTGTATTTCTTATATCCAGCGAAATAAAATGATAAACGGCTTTTCGTCTCTTTTCTTGTATAAAACGCTTCTCGTGAGTTTTCAGGATTCGAATTTCATTTCTTTTTTATCAATTCCCTATTCAACACGGGCTTTAACTGTGTACCTGGCTCCACCTACAGGTAAGAGATGAGTAGTATATGCTCAACCGTGGCAAACATAAAATACCACATTAGTTGGAGGTGACTACTGCCAATGATGACTTTCAACCCACTCTCATAAAACTTGAGACAGTCCGCTGCGGCAGTCCCCGGTTTCGTGTAGTCCACAGGTTTCCTCTCGTGTTGATCTCTGGCGTAGATGTTGGCTCCAAACTCCACCAGCATCTCTATCATCTCCACCTGCCTGGTTTTAGCAGCGTGGTGTAGCGCGGTTTGGTGTAGCCTGGTAGCATTGACTTTAGCCCCTGGGTAAATAATTAGCAGCGTTAAAATGAATAAAGAACAAATATAAATGTCTTTATTTTATAAATAATTCTTATTGAAAACGTATTTAATGAATGTAATGTAACGACAAATATTGACAGGGAACCGTGTGGTTTTTGTTCTTCCACTGGTTTTGGGTCAGTGTGCCTTATGTTTGATTCAAAGAGTTGAATTCCTATTGAACGTCTCAGTCCACTCAGCACCGACAGACTCGGTTCCGTTAACTCACCTGCGTTCAGCAGCACTTTAACACAGTCCATCCGTTCGCTCACGCAGGCCATGTGCAGTGGCGTTCCGTAGTAAAGGTCGTAAGCCTCCAGACAAGCGCCCACGGCGATCAGCAGCTCGGCACAGTGGACGTTCCCTGAAATCGGACAAACTGACATCAGACACAGGGAAACCTCACTCCCACATCCATGATGCAGCTACAGCACCTCCCATGCAGGCCTCGTGTAGAGGTGAGGTGGTGCGTGACGTGAGGGCGGGGTTGGCTTTGGCCCCGTGCTCCAGCAGGATCCTCACACACTCCAAACTGCCGGCCGAACAGGCGTCGCACAGCGGCGTGCTGCCGTCCACGTTCCTCGCATCCACCTGACACAGAGAGACACGCCGTGTTACAGACAGAGGACGTGACAGAGAGCAAGAAGGTCAACGGTTCGATTCCAGGGAGTCTGGTGTCCTCACAGTGATTGGATTCATTTGACTTAATTCTGTTATTGGTAAAAATTATTGGGAAATGTAATTATTCAAAATATATTTTTTAAATGTAATCAACCGGAGGACTGTCCAGGGTGGACCATGTTTGAAATGTATTTTGTACTCATTTTGTGCTGCGACCCCCATTTTTGGAACCATTGACTAAGTTGGTGAGCCAGGCACTACTTGCGACTCATTAGTGTACAGTAAGTACCAGAGCTCCGGCCTCCAGGAGCAGCCGAACACACTCCGCCTGGCCGCGGACACACGCCTCGTGCAGTGGCGTGATGGAGTCCACTGACACCACGTTGACCGAAGCTCCGCTGTCGATGAGGCGCTGCAGCTGGGAGGCCTGGCCAAGGGAGGCTGCCTTGTGGACCTCCGTCCTCTCTGACCAGCAACCTTCAACCCAACACACACACAAAAAAAGACTGGTGCAGAAACTGGAACTCAAATATTACACATAGCAAAAATATATATTTTTTTAATATGGTTGCAAAACAAAGTTTTGTAATTAAATTTGAAAAGACGTTGATGCTATAAAAGAGCCAGATTGTGTTTTTGTTTGAATCTAATTCTGCTGCGAGTTTAGGCGTAAAATCATATTAAAGTCAAGTAACTGACACAGAATTTCTCAATTAAAACAACAACAAACAAAAAAAAAACCACCTGCATTTTTATGTACAGTACAAAACAACAACAACAAAACCACCTGCATTTTTATGTACAGTACGAATGCATTCAGCGCACGTTTAAAACGTTTCCGGTATATTGGTATATTAGACATGAACACTGTAAATGTTATGAAGGCACAGAAAAAATACACTAACATTTACAGGAAAATAGGTGGTGATACAGTAGCTGCTAGTTAAACATCAACGTGTTAGCTGGCTTAAACTGGGTCAAAATAGAGATAAATGTTTAAAAATAGCAGAAGAAGAAAACATTTCTGTTCGTCTTATTCTTTTCACTCACCAATGTCACCGAAAGCGTACGCGACGTCGTTGTCAACGTCCATCCTGCTCTGTTATTACACCGCTATGACTGTTTGTAAACAGCCCGCTATTGGCACGGCGGCTCCGGTCACGTGGTATACCTGGCGTGGGGGCGAAACGCATCTTGGGATTTGTAGGGTTCAGCGTCAGACGTAGTCAACCTTTACATACTGTACGTTAATACCTATATAGATGGTTTCTTTCATCTTTGACACATGGTGTCTGACGACATTTCTTCATCAATTCAATTGCCTTTGAATATGATTTAAAATCATTTTGTCCAAATTCCGTTCCAGCTCGTTGCTCAAGAACGAGTATCTTTCATCCTTAACCACTCATTTGTCAGAAGTCGCTTTGGATAAAAGCGACTGTTAAATGTAATGTAGTGTGTTGTACAGTAATCTACAAATCAATCTAATGAAGTGTGTTGTACAGTAATCTACAAATCATGCTGTTCCGCACGCTACCAGCTGATGGCGGTAAGGAGCCAGGGAGCTGTGTGAGTATCGTCGATTAATAGAAGAAGAAGAAGCGTCAGCCTAGAGACCTACGCAGTGAGTGAAACGTCAAACTGACAAAATGAGCACCGAAAAATATCCTCGCTCTTCAATAGAAGACGACTTTAACTATGGCACCAACGTCGCTACAGCCAGTGTCCAGATACGAATGGGTGAGTGAAGAAGAACAAAAAAGATTTCTTTGTAGCTTTAGCGGCAGGAGAATACAGTAAAGCCAAGCTAACCGAAGCTAGCCTGCCCAGAAACCGAAACAGTTGACAGTAGCGAACCTGTCTGTCTGTCTTTGTTGTAGATTAAACTAGTGTTAATAGTCAGGCCTGGTTCGTAATCTGTAACCGATCATTTCTCCTCTTGTTTACCCGTTGACCAGACTTCCTCAGGAAGGTGTACAGCCTCCTGAGCGTCCAGATCCTACTGACCACAGCCACCTCGGCTCTCTTCATGTTCTCACAGACCATCAAGGATTTCGTCCATGCCAGGTAGGAACCACTGGAATGTATTTCATTTCAATGCACATCATCATCATCATATCTGTGTTTATATCACACAGACTGTGTTGTGTTCACTGTGACGTGCTTCCTTCCTCAGTCCTGCTGTAGTTTTGGTCTCTGCTGTGGGTTCTCTGGTTCTTCTGGTGGCCTTGGCCGTTTACAGACATCAACATCCAGTCAACCTCTACCTGCTGCTTGTATTTGTAAGTCTTTGATTTAAATGCTTACATTGAAATGCACATTTTTCTTGCAGATTTTTGCAATATTGACTCTAGTAAATAAACATTTCTACAGTGTAGCCAAAGAGCTAAATGCTATCTAGCTAAAACTGGCCAAAGAGAATATATATTTATTATTCAATGGTTTGTCTTGCAAGGGAATTCTGCAGCTCCAGCTGAATATAAATGATATGTTACAAATATTGTGGAACCTACAACAAATGTTTTTTTTCCCCAGACTCTGCTGGAAGATGGAACCTACAACAAATTTAACAACAAGTTTTTTTTCCCCAGACTCTGCTGGAAGCTGTTTCCGTGGCTACAGCTCGTGAGTAACTTTTGTAAGTTTTCACTTTTGGTACCCTCTGCCCACAGACTTCTTTGACTGTCGTCCTTTGTCCCTCTGTACAGTGACCTTCTATGAATACTCCACTGTTCTCCAAGCCCTGGTTCTGACCTGTGCTGTGTTCGCTGCTCTGACCTGCTACACCTTCCAGTCCAAAAGAGACTTCAGCAAATTGGGAGCCGGGTGAGTGTGACACAACGTTAACATCTCTCTGTTGTTATCGTGACTACTGCCTCTCTGGTTGACTGACGTCTTCTGTTATGTTCTGATGTTCAGTCTCTTCGCCTGCCTGTGGATTCTACTCATTGCAGGTTTCATGAGGGTAAGTTTGAGTTTCTTGTATAAATATAATATATGAATGCAAAAGTAAGTAGGGTAATATAGCCTGGATATCGTCCCTAACTGGGAACGTTGTCTCTGCAGCTCTTCTTCAACAGTGACAGCACAGAGCTGGTGTTCGCTGGAGCTGGGGCTCTGGTCTTCTGCGGCTTCATCATCTACGACACCCACCTGCTGATGAAGCAGCTCTCCCCTGAGGAGCACATCCTGGCATCCATCAACCTCTACCTGGACATTGTCAACCTCTTCCTGCACATCCTCCGTGTCCTGGACTCTATGAAGAAGCACTGAGTGCAGCAGGTCGTGGGGGCAGGACTGCTGCACTGACGGTTACATGTCAATGTCAGATAATGTGCTAAAACTCCAGGTCTGGATCTTTATTTCCTTTCTTCTAAATTAAAAAAAAAAAACTTTAACATTTGTTGAATGTACTTTGTCATAAAGGAAAGGGATGATAATGGAATGAGTTCACACAATATTGAGATGTGGATTTTTAAGTCCTATACACTAGAAGTAAATTTTAAAAAATCATGTGTCATCACAAAAACCAATTATCAGATGTTGCAGAGTAGTTTTTCTTTTGTTATGTAAAGTAATTATGTCTATGTCTATTGTAATTTTTTGCACTTTTTTTCTGAGTCTCGTCCAGTGTTTCTATCACACACAGGGGCTGGGACTCACTGGTTCACACTAACTCTTTCTTGTGTACCCAAGAATGCTGAAGTTTTTAAATGCAAGAAAACTTTGTACTCCTCTGGGCCAAATGACTCCAGTTAAGTATTGTTCTCTAATGTTAAATGAATCAGTTATGCTGTAACGGTGGACATTCCTTCTTCTGCCATAAACCTGTTTTTTGTTTCCTTGTGGTAAGAGGAAAACATATTGTAGATTGGTTTTTAATGGAGTATGAATGGATGTGTGGTTTAACTTGGGTTTGTGATTGTGACATACTGTATTCCCACGGTGTATGGTAATGTGGAAGCTGTTTTGCAATCAGGGACAAAACCTAATAAAATATATAACGCAGGGCTGAATGTGAAGGTTATTTGTGTTACTGTGTGGGTTTGTCCTCTGATTGTTACAGGAACTGAAGTGATGGTATCGTAACGCCATGTTCTGTGGGTAATGTACAACATCCTAAAAAATTAAAATAAGTATTGTAAAAAAAAAGTCCTGAAGACAAAATTGCATATATATTAAAATTTTATTTATGTCACATACACAACTAAGAATTCAGACATCTGGATTCATCAAGTGTTTTTTTTTTTACAGCTGCGTTTTTACCCCACACACCTCCTAAAAAAACCAACATGGCAACCTGACTGAAAAGAAAGATGCAACAATTGGTTAATTCTAGGTTAATGGAAAAAAAACCAACATGGCAACCTGAAAAAGAAAGAACAATTGGTTAATTCTAGGTTAATGGAAAACTAAACTTTAATTTTATGGAATATACACTCATAAATTCAATATCTGACCATAAAATAACTATAAAGTTATTTAACCTAAAGAACGATAATCTGATTTAAATTTGCGTTTATTTCAAACTAATTTTATCCACCGCTCACAAAGAAAGTTTGTACACATGAATAATGTGTCCTGACATTTGATATTCGGTTTGGGGATTTATGTTTTTGTTTTTTGCAAAACAGGAGTTTTTGGATATACATCGATATTTCCTTTCATCTGTGTGAACCCGAACCTAGAAAAATCAAAGGCGGTGGGAAATTGCAAACTAGTTTAAAAAACAGTTTTTAAACGGCGGAGTGTTGATGCAGGATCTTGAACGCAGCACAGTTGGTCCGAAGCCACTTCATCTCTACGTCATTTCCGTCACACAACCTTCTCCCATAGTTTTGTCTAAGATGGCGTCAATGCAGTTAACGGATGAGGAGCTTTTCTCCGAACTGAAGCGGCTTGGGTTCACCCCGGGCCCGGTTACTGAAAATACTCGACCCGTGTATTTGAAGAAACTTAAGAAGCTTCGCGAAGAGCAACAACAGCGGGGCTCCAGGTCAGGAAAACCCCGAAGCGGCGCGGTCGTCAACAGCATCATTGGCGGCGGCAACACGACGGGATCCAGGCCAGCCAGCCATGACGTCACGCAGCCGAGCTCTAACAGGAGACCGGGCCGGAAGTCGTCCGTCCTCGGCTTTAGCTCTGACGAGTCTGACGCCGAAATCCCGCTTAAAAGAAAGGGCCTCAATCACAGCGGCAGGGTGGACCGAAGCCCTGCATTCCAACAACCGAAGCCAAGGCCAATCACACCGACTGTGGTCAACAAGAACCATCATGGCGCTGGGAGTCCGCTAAATAGCAACGATTCTTCCCGTAGTCCGGACGGTCACAGAGGCGTCTCGCTGGTCTGGGGAGCTCGCGCCAGATCCAGCCCCGAGGCGGAAGGGAGGGATTACGACGAATCGGGAGACGAGGATGATAATGAGCAGGCGACTGAGAAAAACTCTCGCTCTTTGAATGGTTGTGGAGCTTCGCATTCGACCCCCAGTAAGTTAGCGGGGGATTATTCAGACTCAGACGAGGAGGAGGCTAATCTTGGCGCCGAAGACCGACGGCGGGATAGGCTCGGGGGGCATCGGAGCCACACGAAAGCGGCGTTCCTTTCCCAAGGAGTCGGTCGAGGGCCTCAGACGGGAGGGGCAGCCAGGGAGGCTAGCCCGTCTGGGAGTGTGAACATGGTGGGAAGAAGGAGGGAGGAGGGGGAGGAAGACGAGTTGAGAAGAAGGGACTCAGATCCTCCGGGGGGCATGCGGAGCCTCAACTTTCCCAGGAAGGCCATCTACGTGTCCCTAGCAGAGAACCACGACAGGGAGGCCGACCAGAACAACCACGTCGACAGCGGGGATGGATACTCCAGAAGTGGCGACATCAGTAGGTTTAGCATCGGGCTAAGACCGCGCTTCTCCAGCTACAGCAGTCTGTCACAGCCGTACAGGAGCAACCACTCCAACCACAGTACTTCCAACCACACGTACAGCCAGGCGGCCCTGAAGCAGAAGCTGTCTCCTCCGGAGGATGAGCTGCTCCAGCAGTTCAAAAGAGAGGAGGTGACCTCCCACGGGAGCTTCAGTGCTCACTACCTTTCCATGTTCCTGCTCATAGCAGCCTGCCTCTTCTTTCTGCTGCTGGGCCTCATGTACCTGAGGATGAGAGGCTCCGGAGCCACAGAGGCGGACGCAGTCAGTAAGTGAACACAGTCATAACACACCAGGTCAGGGGTCATCAATGTGTGTCAGGTCAGGGACCCCTAACCTGACTACAGGAGGTGGAGCAGGGACCTCAACATTATCTATTAACATTTATGTCTTTGTTTTATGGAAACAGGACTCGTGTAAACACTAATAGACCCCTAACCTGACTACAGGAGGGGGAGCAGGGACCCCAACGTTAGCTATTAACATTGATGTCTTTGTTTTGTGGAAACAGGACTCGTGTAAACACTAATTTTGTCCATGAATACGTATCACTGAAACCAAACTACTTCTGTAGTTTTTTTAAACTCTGTAATAGTGATGCTCCAGTCGACTGTCTGGTGATCGGAATCGTCCGATCGACCCAGACTGATGATCATTTCCCAAAAGCGTTCTGAACAGAAATAGAAGCTCTCACGAATAAGCTAAAGCTAACATGCATTTTGCATTTTTTCTCAGACGTAGTCGTTTCAAGTCGTGTCATGCCAAGTTAGCAGCCCGCTGCTGGTCACCCCTAAACCAGCAATTATAAACCTTCAACTGACACTTGGACCAGTCACCTGGTCCTGACCCAGTGAACGAGTTTTGTTTTCCCCCCCCACTCACCAAGAACTTTATTTTGAAAGTTGTTGAACTGAAGGAAGAACCTTTTGAGTTCAGTTTTTTTTTTTAGTTCCTTTTTTCATTTTCATAATTACTGGTTTTGGGAAGAAAGTTTTGTGTTGAAGAAGAGTCTGAATGGCTGTCGGTTCAACTCCACCATGAAACGAGAGAAGTTGAAGCTGCAGCGGTCATGGACACCACAGCGTCTGTCTGCAGCTTCTCTAAGTCGTGAGCGTTTACATCATCCTGTGTCTCTGTGTCAGCTGAACATCCAGACGTGCAGTTGTGTTACACTTTAATACGTTCTGTCGTGAACCGACTTGGCTCCAGGAGAGTTTGGCTTCTGTGCTGAGGCCTCAGGGCCTGAGCTTCATGTACAGACACTGACTCACTCACCTGTGGGGTGAGGTCTGCGCTCCTCTCATCCACTGCTCCATGTCCACAGACTGTGGTGTTTGTCTCCTGTGATGTGTCCAGGTTGGTTTTAAATCCCTAACACGTTTTTTTTTCTTCTTCTTCTTTTTTTTTGTGTTTGCAGTTAAGAGCCACCCCTTTGGCAGCGACTTTGACTCTTCTTATGTAAGTGGACCTTTTCTCCTCACCCCTACTCTCTCACCCTGTCTTCCAAGCCTCTGTGGACACGTTTTTTGACCATCAAAGAAAATGCACTTCACACGCTCGACACCAGGGAGCAGAACCAGTGTTGGCTTTGTCAGATTACGGTTCTGTGAACCCGGGGAGCGGAGCTGTTGTTTCAGAGGGAGGTGTTCCAAATATGTGGTCTGCTTTGTTTTAATCGGCAGGTATAGATGAGAGCTCATGCTGGATGAACCAGTTTGATCCAAACTGGTACTGGATGATCACTGATTACTCACCCTGTCTGGGCTGCTGTTGCTGCATGTGTAGCAGAAACTGTAATTATGTTAATTGGCAGTTTATTATGCTATAGGTTTATAGGTAAACGGGTGATTATTAAAGTTTAATATTATTTATTTTAAAAAGAGGGACACATTAACCAGAACTGACTTGGTCTTTGTTTTTTTTTTTTTGTTTTTTTTCTTCATATATTTTCCATTTTGTGGCCAGATTCAACAACTGTGTCAAAGACCAACAACTAGTCTATAAAAAGTCTTTAGAAGTCGACAGGTCCTTCGTGACGTCACGTCACCACAGTGGATTTGTCGTCTTCTTCTTCAGGGCTTTTGTGACAGTTGATGAACCAACTTTTCTACTGTTGTTGTTTTTGGTTGTTTTCAGGACAAAGTAAAGAAGGACGTGATCCTACAACTGCTGCTCAGTCTACACGACCATCTGGCCCACATTGCAGGTAGCTATAAACCCAGTGTGTGGCCCACATTTTTTTCCAGCTGGAGGTGGTTTTAGCTGCATGTTGTTAAAAACTGTATTTTAGTTTGTTGTTTTTGGTTTGTAGTATTTGGAGACTAAACAAAAACATCTTTTAATGGGGTAAAATGATGTAGATATAAACTGTCTCTCTGTAAATCAGGTTGAAATCCGTCTGTTATGAAAGACAAGTTTTTAAGGTAGTTTAGATGAATGTTCACAGAGGAGCAGGTCGCTCCTGGTACTGTTACTGGTACTGTTACTGGTACTGTTACTGGTACTGTTACGACAAATTGATGTTCGTTTAGTTTTAGGTCAGGTGTTTACTACAATTATCACAGGCTGAACAGCGTTTCAACATAAATACTGTGGACCACCAAGTTCAACAATGACTCATGTCCCGATCGAATTTTCCCCATAAAGAATAACTAAGAACCAATTAATTAATTAACTCTGATTTTGTCCAATTTTTTCAGTCATTTTATTGATGATTTAATCTTTTTTTTTTTTCTATTGCAGGTCAGCATGAGTGTGGAGAGCTGGAGATTCTGAACCGGAGTCTGTCCATTGATGAAGCCTCTGCATATCTACAGGTGGGAAAACATGACTTTCACATACAGGAGGTTTGGGTTTGTGTTTGAATTCACTTTTTAAATTATTTTATTTATTTTAAATTAGTTTCAATGACAAGCCTCTGGTAAATTATCTCAGAAATAGATCGATTCTTAAATTTAAAGAAGTTCCTGGATGTTATGGAGAAGTCAGTTTGTCATATATGACTTTTATACTGTGTCTCTAGATTGTTTTCCAAACACACACCATTGAAGAGAGTGTGACTGAGTGTGTGTGTGTGTCGACACGTTCTTTATGACAATGTTGTTGTTTTTTTTTTCTTTATCTCAGGCTCAGAATCAGCAGTTTGAAGGATTAGTTCTGGAGTCTCTGGAGTGGATTATCCGGTCAGACCAGGATGTAGGGATCAGGTGAGAAGATCCTCCTCCGTCAGTGGATCTCTGTAGAACGTCTCAACTGTTTTTGACTTTGACCTTCCGTCCCCTGTGTCCCTGCAGGCTGATTGGACAGGTACCTGACGATCCTGTGACCGATATCAACGAGATCTCGCGGCTGGAGTCCACACATCCCAATATGCCCTTCGTTTGCCGCTTCCGCCGGGCGTTCCTCACCGGCATCAGCAGAGTCTTTGTCTTTTTAGTTGGTGAGAAAAGCAAAATCTTCACGGCACAAACGTAACACGCCGCAACAAACGGTTATGGCACGTCTCCTGTTCAAGTGGTAACTGCGTGGAGTGTCTTTGTCTGCAGCGGTCGGCCTCGTGTGGAGCGTCGTCTTCTACATCAAGTATCGATGGAGGCGAGAGGAGGAGGAGACCAGGCAGATGTACGACATGGTGGAGCGGATCATCGGTAAAGAACTTGACTCACTGTCAGGAGATAAAACCTTCTCTACATGTCTGTTCTTCTCTGCTACACTGAGGTCCGACCTCACAGAGGTGACCAGGACTTTTCACTGACTCCTGACTTCTACAGTGGGGGGGTTGAGGGGGGGAGGGTCTCTGAGCATTTAAAGTCTGCAAACGGGGGCGGGGCGTCAAAAAAACAGGCTGGAAGGCTGTCCGT